CCTTATAAAACAGATACAACAATAAATACCCAATTTAAAACCTAATTAAAAAGAAATATTTACTATGGCCTATATAATTAAAATTTCTCTTAAAACCCCACTAAAAATTCCCCTAGGCCAATCCCGCTTGTTGGAAGAGCCATGTCTTCAGGGCGCGGCGGAAGGAGGGGAGATCCGGGATCACCCGGATCTCTGGGGGATCACCCGGATCTCTGGGGGTAGTTCGTTTACATCGTGGTGACCAAAACTGGATGCCGTATTCCAAGTGTGGCCTTACCAAGGCCTTGTAAAGTGTTTTGAATGTTCTACCAGCTGCATCTGTAGAAGTGTGCGTGTGCATTCATGCATGCAGTGACAAGGATGCTTTACCAATAAAGGAGAATATTTGTAGCTCAGGGCTGAAATGAGGGGTTGGTGCTCTCTCAGCTTGGTTGTTTTCTTGCAGATGTTTCATTATTTGACTAGATAATATCATCAGTATCTAGCACTTAGGGTGTTATCTAGTTTGGGTAATGAAATGTTTGCAAGAAAACAGCCAAGCTCAGAAAGCCCCCCCAAGGATGCTTTGTTGTTGTTAGTTGCGAAGTCGTGTCCGACCCATCGTGACCCCATGGACAGCATTCCTCCAGGCCTTCCTGTCCTCTACCATCTTCTGGAGTCCATTTAAGCTCCTGCCTACTGCTTCAGTGACTCCATCCAGCCACCTCATTCTCTGTCGTCCCCTTCTTCTCTTGCCCTCCATCTTTCCCAGCATCAGGCTCTTCTCCAGTGAGTCCATCCTTCTCATTAGGTGGCCAAAGTACTTGAGTTTCAACTTCAGGATCTGGCCTTCTAAAGAGCAGTTAGGGTTGGTCTCCTCTAGGACTGACCGGTTGGATCGCCTTGCAGTCCAGGGGACTCGCAGGAGTCTTCTCAAGCACCAGAGTTCAAAGGCTTCAATTCTTTGGTGCTCAGATGCTTTAATTCTTGCAATAACCTTTTTGGCTGGCAAAACATCTGCAACTAGTCCTCAACTTATAACTGGTTGCTTAGCAATCATTCTAAGTTACCAGAGACCCAGTTTCAAAATCCTGATGTTGGGCTTCCCTTGCAAGTCATAGGACCTCATTTGAGGTGCTTGGCCCTTTGCAGCACCGCGCAGTTACATGACTGTGATTTACAATGATTTCACTGGGAATTGGTGCTTACTTCTGGTTTACGGCAAAAACCACCCCATAATAAACAATGGGCTTGCTTACTGACCATGGTGTTACTTAATGACCACTGTAAAAAAGATCATAAAACTGGGTTCCGTAACATGGTGACCTGCTTTACGGCTGTTTTGACTTACAATTGTAATTGTTAAACTCAATGACAGTCATAACTCAAGGACCAACTCGGTGTGTCAAATCAAATTTATTGGATTATAGAGGAACTCGTGAGTCCTAGGCCACAAATATTTTATTAATAAAGTATCTGATTAAGTACACTTTAATGCAATTACCTCTTGTATTACATGCTAAGGTAACCTAGTAACCCAGATTCAATACAGTATGGATAGACTAACAGGTGTGTACCAGGCTTCAACCTAATAAACTGNAGAAGAAGAAGAAGAAGAAGAAGAAGAAGAAGAAGAAGAAGAAGAAGAAGAAGAAGAAGAAGAAGAAGAAGAAGAAGAAGAAGAAGAAGAAGAAGAAGAAGAAGAAGAAGAAGAAGAAGAAGAAGAAGAAGAAGAAGAAGAAGAAGAAGAAGAAGAAGAAGAAGAAGATATTTTAAAGAACAGACATAAAGTATACAAACAACTTCCTGTATATACCAAGAATTGTCCCAGCCAGCTTTTCACTTTATCTCTACTCTGTCCTATTCCGAAGCAATTACTTACCAGGGAAAGACTTGGATCCTAGTTTGGGAATGAGGCCTCGGGCTTCTATCACTTCTACCTCTAGCTGTCCATTCCGGTCAATCATCCCAACATGGACATCACCTAGGAAAACAGCAGTAAAGTCAGCATGGACACAACTCCAGAGCTATGTGCTGCCACATGTGATTGTGCAAAACAAAGAAGAAAACAGTGTGAGGGGGGAGAAAGTATCCTTCATTTTTTTTAGAAGTCCCAAACAATTTGTATGCATCCATCTTTAACAAGCTGTTTGATTACTAGTATTCACGAAAAAAAGGTCTTCTTTCAAAATTCAATTGGATTTTTTTAATATAATAAAGAATAGCTTTTTGTCCTTCACGCCAACGTCTTCCCCCATTTCCATGTGTGATTGTGGTGTCTTAGCTCAGGGGTAGGCAACCTCGGCTCTTTTATGACTCGTGGACTTCAGCTCCCAGAATTCCTGAGCCAGCATGGCTCAGCATGGAAACCTCTCCATTTCTCCTCAGCATGGCTGGCTCAGGAATTCTGGGAGTTGAAGTCCACGAGTCATAAAAGAGCCAAGGTTGCCTACCCCTGTCTTAGCTCATCTTAATGTTTTGTGGTAGATCTATATTTAGGAGACTTTTTAAAGTAATGGAACCCACAGAATTGTGATGGAGATGTTATGGTTCTCCAAATATTGCTGAATCGTACTTTCCAAGAAATCTAAAGAACGTGGCCAATGGTAAGAAATATAGAAAGCCTATAAATTTAACACATAAATAGAAATAAATAAATAAATTCAGTAGCACCTGGGGAATCACATATTCTTTATCCATGAGTTCTAACCAAAATGAATTACTCTCCTTAAATCAACATGAAAAATTAATTACAATTGACCTTCATCTGTTCACATCTTAAGGATAAAAGAAGGACGAATCAAAAACAGTCCTCCTGGTAGAATATCGTGTATATCCTAAAGCAACTTTAACAACCTGAGTCCTGCTCATCACCTGAAATTTGCAGATGGCCAAACCTGACTCACGTCACATTTATTCAATTAGGTAGGAAGATTTTTCAAGGACTTATTGTTAGACAGATTCTATTAGGACTTACAATAGCCTTTATGGTCACGAATTTCATGCAATACTTGGGGATTTGCTACAAAAATGTATAGCATGAACCAGCGTTTCTCAACTTTGACAGAGCTGAAGACGTATGGACTTCAACTTCCAGAATTCCCCAGCCAGCTGACATCAGGAATCATGCTTACACTGAAGATTTTATTGAGTAAATCACAATTAGATAGGTTCAAAACACACTCAGCCATAAACCATGATTTCTAAATTACAGGAATTATGGCTCGTTATATAAACACTACACAGTCCCTCACAAAACATGAATCCAGGGAGATGGTTAATTAAGGAAGATCCACATGAGATCCTCCTCCATCCAGTGACCCTGAACCTAAAGGGCTGAGATGGTTCACTCACCCATTGGTGGAGTAGCGAGTGTTTGTCGCCCTACAATTTGTGCTGGTCCAAGACCATCTAGGAAGTCACTGAACTGGCTTTCAACTCCCAGCTTGGTTGTGGGGAAAATAAATCTGAAGGAAAGGGTGAGAAAGACAGTGTGTGAGAAAAAGAAGACACAGCTTGAAAGAACATGCAGAAGAGAGATTCATCCTTCTCCTCCTACATTTTGTCCCAGAGCATCTTTTTGCCTTTACATGAGACCTGAGTCAATAAACCAACTGAATCAAAGACATTTTCATGCATCCTGGTTTTTTGGGGGGGGTCCTATCTATGAGTTAATATTATCAGGACATTCTCCTTAAAAAATGGAACACTTGTTTTTATATTCTCTGTACAATGTCTACTCTTTATTCAGCGACTATGTTAACCAACAGCAGGACTTACGTGCCATCGGAGCTGTTGCTGTTAGTACTTCCATCGGTTGACTCCCGACTGCCTTGACGGGTGACCCTGTTTCTCATCTCCACAGCAATCCCAGTCTCAGTGCTGCGACGAATGTTACTTCGAAGTTTCTTTAAGCCACCATCTGAGGGGGGGGGAAGAAACCACATGAATAGAGGGTGAGGCAGTCCAGGGGCATCATCTCACAGCCAGGAAAGGATAGGGCTTGTCCTACAATACATTCAGTGAGAGCCAAGTTGATACTGGTTAGTTTCTTTCCTGCCTACTTCTAGCCCAGGGGTAGGCAACCTTGGCTCTTTTATGACTTGTGGACTTCAACTCCCAGAATTCCTGAGCCAGCATGGCTCAGCTTGGAAACCTCTCCCTTTCCCCTCAGCATGGCTGGCTCAGGGATTCTGGGAGTTGAAGTCCACGAGTCATAAAAGAGCCGAGGTTGCCTACCCCTGCTCTAGCCTTTGGATGGATGCAAAAGGTCCCAGTTTTCTGCGTTCTCAAATGAAAGTAAGCCCTTTTGAGTGAAGCAGAAATACTGATTTGGCTCTTCCCCCCCCCCCCTTCTTCTCTCTTTGGAAATCAGAGATTGAATCTGAAGAGGGCAGTTATGTCTGTTTTACGGTTAGCATGCGCAGATAGTGTTATTGGGTTTCTGCAAAGCCTGTGTCCCAGTAAGACACAACTCCAGAAGTCTTCTGCCTTCTGTTTGCAAGCCAACAATGAAGCAAGGATGAGTAGTCACTACCACATGTTCTTACCTCTGGGAGGCTGAGCAGATTAGACCCAGAAGGAGAGAAAAGCAAATACTGTGACAGAAACAGTAGCAAGCTGGGGGAATGGCTGCCCTTGGGAGCAGGACCCATAGAAACATCTCACCCCTGGGCTTCCCAAACCCAGAGGCTAACACTAATGGTCTCTGCAGGCTTCCATATAACCTTTTTTTATGTTTTTGCTCCTCATGTGATGAAATACTTGCATGCAGATGTTTTTTTGTTTGTGATTTACAGTTTTGTTTGGATAGATGCCCACTCCAGTGAAATATAAATACAATAGGTGTATAAGTCATTTAGAATAAAGAACACTTGGAATACTGCGTCCAGTTTTGGTCACCACGATGTAAAAAAGATGTTGAGACTCTAGAAAGAGTACAGAGAAGAGCAACAGCCATGCCTTTTCAATTTGCCAAGGTTGAGAAATACTGATGTAATCTTACAATAAAGATAGAATTAATACTTCTGGGTGTGCTTTTGGTCTGGACTACCTCGCAAGAATGGCAATCCCCCCCCAAAAAATGTGCTTTGTTCTGAAAAACCAGGAAAAGAACGGAAGAACGAACAACAGCATTTGATTAAAGAGCGGTGCTTTTCGACTGCCTGTTCCAAACAGATTTGGAACGGTCCCCATATTGCCATCCCGTTGTTACAGATTCACTGAGATTTAACCAACTTTCCAAAAAAGACTATTTAAAAAAAATCCTAACAATAGCATACTTAGACTAGCCTCTAGAACAAGTGTAAGCTAGACATGACATGAGCCGTGTGTTCAAATCAGAACTTGTTTTTGAGATATTAACTCAGCTTTTGAGGTTACAATGATAGAAAGTTGGAGACTTGGACTGAGGGGTCTTTTCCAAGTCAGCAAATCCACCCTTTGTCACAGCAGAAACAATGGCTATTTTTTTTTAGGCAGGAGAAAATTGGCAAATGAAATTACATCTTGCCAGATGGTCCCTAGGTGGCTCTTAGAATCATTCCATTAATCAGAGGGTTCAATATCAAACAAATTCCAAATGAGACTAATTCATGCAAACAATTGCACTAAATAGACACAGAGAGAGAGAGGGGGGGGAGGGAGGGAGGGAGAGAGAGAGAGAGGGAGAAAGAGAGGAAGAAAGAGAGAGGGAGAGAGAAAGAGGGAGAGGGAGGGAAGGAGAAAGAGAGAGAGAGAGAAAGAGGGAGAGAGAAAGAGAGAGGGAGAGAGAGAGAGAGAGAGGGAAGGTTTTAATGATAGCCAAATTGCTAACATGGATCTACAGCTGCAAAAGACATGCAAAGTGCAAAAAGCCAGATCTCTGATATATCTGCCACATTTCTGTCTTCGAACTTTGATGTTACAAGGACTAGAAAGACATAATTTTTGTAAAATGCCCAGAATCATTTAGGTGAAATGGGAAGTATAGAAATCAATAAAATCCAATTTTGCCATTTAACATTTTTTTGTTGCTCTTTTTAAAGTTCTACTGTGAGGCCCAGTTTGATTGATCATTTTCTATGACTTCAACTTGCATTAAAGTCCAATGTTTTAAGACGTAATGACCTATTCAAGGATATTTAAGTCACCCTACAATGCATTTCGAAAGCCAGTTTGTGTAATGGTTAAGGCAGTGGTGGCGAACCTATGGCACGCGTGCCAGAGGCGGCACTCAGAGCCCTCTCTGTGGGCACGCGTGCCGTGCCCTGGAGATGGCGAGGGATTGGCCCCGCCACCCTGGCCCCGCCCACCCAGTCTGCCATGACCACCGCGGCCACGCCCACCCGGCACCCAGTGATAAATAAGTGGGTTTGGGGTTGCAGTTTGGGCACTGGGTCTCTAAAAGGTTTGCCATCCCTGGGTTAAGGCATCAGGCTAAAACCAGGAGATGGGTGTTCTAGTCCCACCTTGGATACAAGGCCAGCTGGGTGTGACCTTGTCCCTCTTTCTTAGCCCTGGGAAGGAGGCGATGGCAAACCACTTCTGAAATCTTGCCAAGAAATCATGCAGAGACGTGTCCAGGCAGTCATCAGGAGTTAAAAACTACCTTGAAGGCACATAGAAATCTCCCCTTTAGGATCACAGCAATTAAAAAAACCAGCTAAATTAGAACCGTCAATTATCTAGAACTCACTGTGTACAACTGTGCATTGCTACCATTCCTTCCCAACCAATGCATTCTCTCAAGCAGTGGTTCCCAGTCTATGGTTTTCAAGGGCACGATCTTGTCAATCTTCCACCAATCAAAGCATCCATTCCATGATCGTCAGCAACCCTTTAACACCAGCCAACCTACTCTGAGGTTTACACTCCGTATCTCGCATGCATCATACTAGCTAGCTTAGAATTAGAAATCAGATCCCTGGAAGATCAGGTCAGATGGGTTGATTCCCCATGGCCGTTGTATTTGCACACATACAGACTTGTTCCTGAGCATTCCTTAGTTAAGAATTTAGTAGGTGAAGCTGAAGTGCAGAGAAGAGCAACAAAGATGATCAGGGGACTGGAGGCTAAAACATACAAAGAACATTTGCTGGAACTGTGTATGTCTAGTTTAATGAAAAGAAGGACTGACATGATAGCAGTCTTCCAATATCTCAAGGGTTGCCCCAAAGAAGAGGGAGTCAAGCTATTCTCCAACGCAGCTGAAGGCAGGACAAGAAGCAACAAATGGAAACTAACCAAGGAGAGAAGCAACCTAGAACTAAGGAGAAATTTCCTGAAAGTTAGAACAATTAATCAGTGGAACAACTTGCCTCAAGAAGTTGTGAATGCTCCCAGACTGAAAGTTTTTAAGAAGAGATTGGACAACCATTTGTCTGAAATGGTATAGGGTTTCCTGCCTGAGCAGGGGTTGGACTAGAAGACCTCCAAGGTCCCTTCTAACTCTGTTAATCTATTCTATTCTACTCTACTCTACTCTACTCTACTCTACTCTACTCTACTCTACTCTACTCTACTCTACTTCTATTCTATTCTATTCTATTCTACTCTACTCTACTCTACTCTACTCTACTCTACTCTACTCTACTCTACTCTACTCTACTCTACTCTACTCTACTCTACTCTATTTTTGGTTGATTTCCAAAGGCACAAGACCTTACAGGCCGTCCAGTGAGGAACACCTATGGAAGAAAGCAAGCGGAGCGGTGTAGTGTTGCTAAAGAAAGCAATTGGTAATATCATTTTAACTCCTTTCAGCACTCACTTTCTTTCCTAATCAACACTTCACATGCGCCTTGGTGTCTCATTCACAGGTCTCCATGGCAACTCTTCCTCCTCTTGCCCCCCCTCCCAACCCATTTCTTCTTTCTGTCCTTTTTGCAAAACCAGCCTCACGCTTTGTCTTGCCGTCACTAATACTAATTTGTGTGCCTGCATCCTCCAGCAGGTCCGTCCCCAGGGGAAGGAAAGAGACTTGGCAGAGCTTCTACAGCTCAGAGAAAAGGGGGGTGGGCTGCATACTTGCTGGACCAGATACCACCCAGAGAGAGAGAGAGAGAGAGATCAAGGGTGGATTTAGGCACCTTCAATTTCTGAAATCTCATCTGACTCTAAGAATCAGGAAAGCCGATGGGAAGACACGAAGCATAAGGGATAAATCTGGAATCTGAAGAGAAAGGGAAGGAAGATATGGGATTCTAACCATTTTATCTATTCATCCACTCCTGGATTGTTGGGCTCCAAGAACCAAGAACAACACATGGAGTTACTTAAGAGTAGTTTCCTTTATTGTGCCCCACCTATAGACAGAATCTTGCCAGACTAAAGCAACTATTGGCATAACTACAGATTTATACTGGGAACTGCTAGGGAGAAGACATTTTAATCCTCTTCCTATGAACAAGAAACAAGGAGATTTCTTAATACACAATTCTTCTGCTGCCATGAAAAAAATGGCTATAGCTTAGACAGATTTGAAAGCTCAGTTTGGAAGTAAAATCCCTGGATGCTTAATATCATGTATATTCCATCTTTATTCTCATGTACTACGTCAGTTACGAAACCTCTGGATAAGAGCTATGATATCATTCAGTTCCTGCTGTGACTGTAAGCTGCAGATATTTTGAATCTGCCAATTCGATGGGCTGTGAAGGTGAGGAGGAGTCCCGTTGACATGGAGCCAGACAATAGTTTCGAACTCCCATCATCTTAAGCATTTAAAAAAAAAAAAAGACTATTTACTCATCTCTCCAACCTTTCAATTGGGCTGTATGTTGCCTTGTCCAAGGTGCTGAACTTCCCAAATGGTGTTGCAAGAAGATTGGGGTAAAGCTGGTGGAACAGTGGTTGGAATGCAGTGTTGCAAGCTAACTCTGCCCAGAGTCTGGAGTTCGATCTTGACGGGGCTCAAGGTTGGTAAAATGAGGACCCAGATTG